AGCTACAAGCAATCATGTGGAAGAAATGCCTAAAACTTCAGATAAGAAAGGGTATAGTGAGAAAGAAACAGACAAAATTAAAAACATATTTTTTTGCATTTAAAATAAATCTTTAAGCCAAAATTTCAAATACGTTAAAAAAAAAAAATACTACGGGGCTTCCCTGGTGGCGCAGTGGTTGAGAGTCCACCTGCTGATGCAGGGGACACAGGTTCGTGCCCTGGTCCGGGAAGATCCGACATGCCACAGAGCGGCTGGGCCCGTGAGCCATGGCTGCTGAGCCTGTGCATATGGAGCCTGTGCTCCGCAACGGGAGAGGCCACAACACTGAGAGGCTTGTGTACCGCAAAAAAAAAACAAAACACCACAGAATTAATTATAGGTACAGACTTAATTTCAGATACAGTATTTTATTTAAAGAATTTGGAAAAACTTTCAAATTAAATAGAATTTTAATGCTCAAAGTAATAAATGAAACTCACAGTGGATGTGAGTGAGGAATTAGGAATATTTTATAATTATAAGGTGCCTGCACTACTCGGAAATCGGTAGAGTGTTATCTGAAAGTGGACTTGGATTAGCTATAAATGTATATTACAAATTCTAGGACAGCCACTTAAAAAAGTTAAAAAAGGAGAAAATGGAAGCATATGAAATGTTCAATTAAAATCACAAAGGCAAAAAAAAGTGTGCAAGACAAAAAAACAAAAAACAAGGGCAAAAAGTAGAAAATAATGACAAGTATGGTAGATATTTATCTAATTATATCAATAATTACTTTGAATGTCAGTGGTCTGGAAATACCAGTTAAAAGACAGAGATTGTCAGAGTGGGTCAAAAATAAGACCCAACAATATGCTGTCTATAAGAAATCCACTTGAAATATAAAGACACATATAGGTTAAAAATACAGGGATGGAATAAGATATATCATGCTAACAGTAATCAGAAGAAAGCAGGAGTAGCTGCTTTAGACGTCAGAGCAAGGAAAGTTCTCAAGGATAAAGAGGAGAATTACATATTGATAAAGGAGTCAGTTCTCCAAGAGAATATAACAGTCCTTAATGTGTTATGTACCGAAAAACAGAGCATCAAAATACCTGAGGTAGAAACTGGTTGAAGTGCAAGGAGAAATAGGTGAATCTACTATTGTAGTTGGAGGCTTCAACATCTCTCTATCAGAAATGGGTGGATCTAGCAGGCAGAAAATCAGTATGGACACAGTAGAACTCAAAGCACCATCAATTAACTGGATACAATGGACATCTATCAACAGCTTCATCCAACAACAGCTGAATACACATATTTCTCCAGCTTGGATCATTCACCACATTCCCTGGTGGCGGTTGAGAGTCCGCCTGCCAATGCAGGGGACACGGGTTCGAGCCGTGGTCCGGGAAGATCCCACATGAATACTGGAAAAAATGCAAAGCAAGTGGACTTCTCATAGATTGCTGGTGGAAATGCAAAAAGGTGCAACCACTCTGGGAAACAGTTTGGAACTTTCTTATAAAGTTAAACATGCACCCTACTATGGTCCAGCAATTCCACTGCTAGATATTTACCCAAGAGAAATAAAACAGATGTCCACACAAAAACATGCATGCAAACACTTAGAGTGGCTTTATTCGTAATTGCCCCAAACTAGAAGCAATCAAAATGTTCATGAGCTGGTAAATAGAATATCCATATAATGAAATACTATTCAGCAATAAGAATGAATTGACTACCTCTGCTTTCAATAACGGGAATACATCTCAAATGCATCATGTTAAGATAAAGAAACCAAATTCAAAAAGTTGTATAAATACTGTATGATTTCATTTATATGACATTCTGGAAAAAACAAACCCAAGGGAACAGAAAGCAAATTAGAGATTTCCTGGGGCTGGGCCTGGGAGGAAGAGGTTAAATACAAAGAATGAGGCAGAACTTTTTGGGATGGTGGAAATGCTCTTGTGGTGATGGTAGTGGTCATATGATTGTATGTTTATCAAAATTCATAAAATTTACACAAAAAGGGTGAATTTTATTATATATCAATTATATCTCAGAAAACCTGAAAAGGAGGAGGAGAAGGAGGGGGATGAGGGGTCAGAGAAGAAGAAGGAGAGGACAGGAAGGAAAAACAAATGAAGGATGGAGCTATCTGAGGGAGTTTTCTGGGCACAAAGCTTTCAGGGTCCAGAAATCCACGATGATCAGGCCCAGGTCTTGTGCAAATTCAGCCTTTTTTTTCTGTGGGAGAGGATTCCTCCCCTTTCATACAACCCCTCCAGTCTTCTCACTCCCTTCTGATCCTTTATACGGAGCCCAGCTTCCACCACACACAGGAAATCTAAAACAAAACAATACAGATGGCAAAATAAAACAACAACAAAACCATCACATCACCAAGATGTGATGGCCTGGCTGAACCTGAAACCAATGAGTTTGTCTTGCAAACGTGGACAGTTCCTAATACAAAAGGGAAGTTGGTGTGGTAGAAAGAGGGTGTTAAAATAAAAAAGGAACTAAACAATTTACTATACAAATTCTCCTTGATTTCCATATTTTTCTCTTTGACTTTATTTTATTTCTGAGGTTAAAAAATATATCTATATCTGTATATAGATACAATAGGTTACTTTTTTTTTTTTTTTTTGTAAATTCAGGTCACAGTTTTAAAAGCACAGTCCAAAACACATACAAAATAATTTAAAGGAATGCACAATTCATTGTTTTTTCTTGAATGATATTAAGGAGTTCCAAGTTCTAACCCCTAGCAATATTTCTCTCATCCCCACTCCCCTTACCCCCACATACCATGGACCCTCTGACTCACCAAATCCTCACAGTATTCTTTCCCATTCACCACTGCCTACTTTGCAGTGGCAAGGAATGGTGGCAGAAATACTCTCCTCCCACCATGCCTTGCCATAGTCCTGACTGTGGCTCCTTAGAGACTGTTCCTCATTTTGTGTCTTTGTTTTTCTTCTGAGAATTCTTCCTGGGTGTCTTTAGTTCATTTTACCACTTCCCATTGCAATTCTGCATCTTCTCAGGAGACTGGATTTCCCAGAGTTTATGGAGTATAGAAAATGAAGCCACTTCCTGGGAAGACAACTTTCAAAATGAAGTTCTTGTGGAAGAAACACAATATGACAATCAAAAAGCAATTTTTGATTAACTTACTGAATTTCATTTACTCTAAGACACACATTTTCCCACACTTTTACATCTCTTAATTAATAGTGTGTCTTAGTTTAAAGGGCAGCATTTACTTTTCTTAGTGACATAAAATGTTATATCTTTTAATCAGGGACCACAGATTTGATAAAATTCCGTAAATGCCTTAATCATGTTTTTTTTTAACACTCAGAAAATACTGTATAACCTAGAGCAAGCACCCTGGAATCTCTCTTCATATATTTCAGCTCTCTCTTCTAACTCACTGAAATCCTCCCTTGCCAGCCTATTCAATAAGTCATTTCTCCCCAAATGCTTTCTTTATTGTATATAAAGAAATGTTTCTTAATTCTATGGGACACAAGCCCAAAGAACATTAACTGGTGAGGTAGGAGAAGAAACTAAGGAATCAGAGTTCACTTTGGATGAGCGGAGCTTAAACTTCTAGACTCCATATTAACAATTTTTACCCTATCACGTTTATTAGGAGAAGCCTTATGAAGCAAGACATTTAATATCTCTATACTTGTTTTTTGACTTACAAAATACTAACATAATTCACAAAGTTTATCATAATAACGTCACTGATTCATTTCTCTGAATTCCTGAAATAAAGTGCCTCTATCAAGACAATGGACAATTGTCTTTATTCATAAATCCATCGACAGACACTTAGCTTGTTTCCATATTTTGGTTATTGTGAATGGTGCTGCTATGAACATGGGAGTGCAAATATCTCTTCAAGATAATGATTTCATTTCCTTTGGATATAGATTGGGAAATGGGATTGCTGGATCATATGGTAGCACTATTTTTAATTTCTTGAGGAATCTCCATGCTGTTTTCCACTGTGGCTGTACCAATTTACAATCCCACCAAAAATGCAAAAGGGTTCCCTTTTCTCCACATTCTCACCAGCATTTGTTATCTCTTCTCTTTTTTATAATAACCATCCTAACAGGTGTGAGGTGATCTCACTGGGGTTTTGATTTGCATTTTCCAGATGACTAGTGATATTGAGCATGTTTTCAAGTACCTGTTGGTCATTTGTACTTAGAAAAATATCTATTCAGGCCTTTGCCCATTTTTAAACTGGGCACCACTGAATATAATTTAACCTTAAAAAAAACAGAAGAAATCGTGTCATTTGCAACAACATGGATGAACCTGGAGGATATTGGAGTATATACTAAGTGAAATAAGCCAGACAGAGAAAGACAAATAATCCATGTTAGCACTTACATGTGGAATTGAAAAACATAAGTTAAAAAGTTGAACTCATATCAACTGTAGTTGATAATACTGTATTGTATAATTGAAATTTACTAAGAGTGTAGAACTCAAATATTATCACCCAAAAAAAGTAAATATGGGAGGTGATAGATGTGTTAATTAACTCCTGTGGAAGGAATCCTTTCACAGCGTATACATAGATCATGACATGTACACTTTAAATGTCTTAGAATTTTGTCAATAATACCTCAATAAATCTGGAAAAAAAGACAATGTACTGTTTGCTTGTGCATAATATTGAGACAGATAGCATTACTTTGGTTATATATATCATCAGGGGTAGGGAGTGTCAGGGTATTTCCTTGGAATTAAAACCTTCCTCCGAAGCTAGACGCAATTTTATGTTTTGACATGAAAGCCATGATTGCACTAAGGAAAATATCAGCCTTTGGTCTTACTTTTTGGCAAGTGTCTACTCTTTTCTAATGGAAAACGTAAAGGAATGTATACCAATGTAAGTCTCAGAGAATAACTGGGTCAAAGAACACATTTATCACAGATTCATAACAAATTACTTATATCCTTTTTTATCCCATCAGGCTTTGTGACTTCACCTCTGGGGAATTGTAATTTATGCCAAAGAGGTAAGAACAATGGTTTTATTTTCATGGGTTCATTTCCTTCCTTTTAAAATAAAGAAATTATAATACTAAGGTGAGATTTGCTACTTCAGCATGACTGCCATTATGATAAGTAAGAACATACATATTTGCTCACTTTGTTGGTGAAAAAAATTCACTGGCATTAATACTAAGGTAGACTAACGTGTCCATTTGTTTAGTTGTATATTCATGGACACATCTTCCAAGAGGCCTTACACGTTATTTCCTATGTTGAAAAACAATCCCAAGTACTAAGAAATGGTCTTTCCCTTCTCATATATTGTCTTTTCTCACCTCTTGTGTCTCTCTAGAATCTTAGCTGTATATATTAAAATTGGAGTGATAATTGATAATTACATTAAGTAGTTATCTCCCCAGTTAAGCATCACTTAAGGAGCTAATGTTGCTGTCAGATAGTTTTAGATTTAATACTGTCTGTGTTTCAGCACCTTATACTGAAAATTATACTGAAAACTCTAGAGCTGGGGACATTTGAACTTACCAATATGTATGATGATGCCACTACATAGGCCACAGTTTTGATGAATAGAAGTGTTCCTGTTCCTTCTGTAAATTCTACGTTTTTTTCCTCTGTATACTAGAACTCTGTTACTGTATGTATTCTAGAGTTTTATCAGATCTATTTTTCTAGTTTTTGAAAATATTTTAAGTCTGTTATATAACTATCCATTGAGGTTTTAATTTTATTGACTAAAATTTTCATTTCTTTGTGTCTGTGTGTTCTTTTCTGAAGTAATTTTGGTCTTTTGAAGTAATTTTCTCCTTTTGGTAAGTGCCTTGTTTTTTCTCATATTGTAATGTTTCATGTCTTTGCCATTTAACATGTTTATTTATAATCTTCATATTTAAAATCCTTATCTAATGGTTGTGTATATGAAGTTCTTGGGGTATACATGTTGCTTCTTGTGTGAGATCAGCTTTAGCTAACTATGAGGTTTTGATTAAATGTGTTTACCTTATAAAAAGTTTTTATTGACTTCTACAAATTAATTCAGAGGTCTTGTCAGGCTGGGATCACTTTTTAATGTTAATTTCCAGCCCAAGGTTTCATATAACTTTTAGGTAGCACACATTGGAAACCCCAACTTTGTGATAGTAGGTCTAAGACCACACATTCTCAAGCTAGACTATATTATTTCAAGCAAGTGAGCAGACCAAGAGAGTCAGGTTTCATTTTTGTCTTTATCTGCTGGACTGATGGACAGCTTTTCTAGTCTATCTCTTCATTGAGGTTGTAGCCATCAAAACCCTGCCATTTTGTGGTGGGTCTAAATGTCAACTTTACCTTACCTGGGACCAAGTACAGTCGTCCCTGGGTGTCTGTGGGGGATTGGTTCCAGGATCTGCCCCAAATACCAAAATCTGTGGATGTTCCAGAACTATAGTAGGCCCTCCGTATCCATGGTTCCACATCCACAGGTTCAGTTAACCTTGGATTATGTAGTACTGTCATTATTTATTGAAAAAAATCCATGTGTAAGTGAACGTGTGAAATTCAAACCTGTGGGTCAGTTATTCAAGAATCAATTGTACTCATCTCTGTTCCCCATGGCCATTAAAATTGTAACTCATTGGTTATCAAGATCTGGCTGTCTTCCCATGAAAACCTCTTTGTCAACCCATTTTGCTATTCTTCTTTTAATTTTTCTTTTTACCTTAGAAGATTCCTCTTAATTCCACAGGAGCTTAACTGTGCATCTTAATGAATGTTTGTTATATTCATTCAGAATTTCTCTTTGCCCTGTAATTGGAGTTTTTTTTCAGTTTATATAGTAAATCACATTGTCATGATCAAAAACATTCTTTATTAGGAATACTCTGGTATCATTCTTATATATTAAGCTTCTCATAGCCTGATGTCCTCATTAGTCATCTCATCTCCTAAAACACCATTCTTTGTAGCTCCAAGAAGTATGTACATCATAAGTCTATGTGGATGAGTTTTTTTTTCCCTTTTTATCCTTAGTTAAACCCTGGTCCATAACAAAAGGAGCATCCATAGATATGATAGCTGCATCCATAGACATAATGAAAGGAGTAAAATTTTAATACACATATAATGAAAATTAGGTTTCTTCATTTACATACTACATTAGTATGATTGAAAAATTTAATGCTGTCTTATATAAAACCTTTTATTTTCTTCATCTGAAATTCAGGAGAGTACATTTATAACACAACTTCTGTGTAATGATTCAGTATGTCTCTTGACATTTTTTAGAATTGCCACCCAAATTATTAATGCTAAGTATATTGTTGCTGAAAGAAAAGTTAAGGACATGTTGAATATCAAGATTCTGATCACCTAAGTAATATGACATAGGCTATTCTTTGTAATTGCTGTTGAAACCAAATTGGTCAAAGAATTAATTAAGAATTAATTCAGAGACTGTCATAATGTTTTCAGTTTCTGGCCATATTCCATGATTATATTAGCCATTAGTACAGCTATTTTATCAGAAGTAAATGTGCCAAATTAAGTTAAACTGAAGATCCGGGGACAAGAAGGGCCCACTGAGATTCGCAGAACATATGCTGCTATAAAAAATAGTATTAGTAGCAAAGAAGAAGGAAAAGTATGATGTGAGAGGAATGTGAGTGAAGGTCCCAGATGGAGGATCCATGGACAGTGTCAGAGTTTAATAACATAGGAGATAATTCACTGTCCTTGTGTTGCACAGGCAAAGCTAACCAAAGTTAGCATCAGGTAGTAGAGATCCAGCTCAGACTCCAGACTTTGAAAAGACTAGGGAAAAAGGCAAGAAGTGGTGCCATTACTTCTAGGTCATGGTTATCACTTGCAAGGCAATCAAAGAAGTATTAAAGGTCACAAAACACAGTAGACTTGGAATCAGTCTGGGCAAGAACTTAGCAAAAAATGTTGATGGACAGTTCCTCACTGTAAGGTTAGAGTCTATATTCCCTTTTTCAAGGGCCAAATAGATTACGTAAACTAAGCTAAACCTGAAGTTTTAGGTGTGCGTCGATGGGAAGAGAGGAAAGGACAAAAGGCACGTCTTTGTAGAAAAAGATGAATGCATTGGAAGGACTCGGGGAAGTTCATCAGACAAGACACTGGGTCAGTAGAGTTTATTAGTCTTTTTGGATTTATGCATAATCATAACAAACATTTCCATTTATGTGCTTTTAACGTTACAGTCAGCTCATTTAGTTTCCTTTTACCTACTGTCAGAAGAGGAAATTTCTATTAATCCATTTTCATGATAATTGTGACACAGCAGACACTATAGATGGATTTGTTTATAGGGTGGGATATGCTTTTGAAGATGATAAGAACGGGGGTGTGTGTACCTTCAAGATAGGAGAGGAGTAAGAAGTGGAGATCACCTTCCTCCCCACAAATACATCAAAATTACATCTACATGTGGAACAACTCCTACAGAACACCTACTGAATGCTGGCAGAAGACCTCAGACTTCCCAAAAGGCAAGAAACTTCCCACGTACCTGGGTAGGGCAAAAGGAAAAAGAAAAAACAGAGACAAAAGAATAGGGATGGGACATGCACCTCGGAGAGGGAGCTGTGAAGGAGGAAAAGTTTCCACACACTAGGAAGCCCCTTCATTGGCGGGGATGGAGGGTGGACGGGGGGGAAGCTTCGGAGCCACAGAGGAGACCACAGCAACAGGGGTGCAGAGGGCAAAGTGGAGAGATTCCCACACAGAGGATTGGTGCTGATAAGCACTCACCAGCCTGAGAGGCTTGTCTGCTCACCTGCTGGGGTGGGCAGGGGCTGGGAGCTGAGGCTCGGGCTTCAGAGTTCATATCCCTGGGAGAGGACGGAGGTTGGCTGTGTGAACACAGCCTGAAGGGGGCTAGTGTGCCACAGCTATCCAGTGGGGAAGTATGGGAAAATGTCTGGACCTGCCTAAGAGGCAAAAGACCATTGTTGTGGGGTGTGCAAGGAGAGGGGATTCATAGCACCGCCTGAAAGAACTTCAGAGAAGGACGTGAGCCGCGGTTATCAGCGCGGACACCAGAGATGGACATGAAACGCTAAGGCTGCTGCTGCAGCTATCAAGAATCCTGTGTGCAAGCACAGGTCACTATCCACACCTTCCCTCCTGGGAGCCTGTGCAGCCTGCCACTGCCAGAGTCCCATGATTCAGGGACAACTTCCCCGGGAGAACACACGGCGCGCCTCAGGCTGTTGCAACGTCATGCCAGCCTCTGCCACCACAGGCTCGCCCCACATTCTGTACCCTCCCCTCCCCCAGCCTGAGTGAATCAGAGCCCCCTAATCAGCAACTTCTTTAACCCTGTCCTGTCTGGGTGGGAACAGACGCCCTCAGGTGACCTGCACACAGAGATGCGGCCAAATCTAAAGCTGAACCCCAGGAGCTGTGCGAATAAAGAAGAGAAAGGGAAATCTCTCCCAGCAGCCTCAGGAGCAGCGGATTAAATCTCCACAATCAACTTGATGTACCCTGCATCTGTGGAATACCTGAATAGACAACGAATCATCCCAAAATTGAGGCAGTGGACTTTGGGAGTAACTGTAGAATTGAGGTTTGCTTTCTGCATCTAATTTGTTTCTGGTTTCATGTTTATCTTAGTTTAGTATATAGAGCTTATTATCATTTGTAGATTTGTTTATTGATTTGGTTGGTCTCTTCCTTTTTCTATTTTATATATATATATATATACATTTATTTTTGTTTTTCACTTTTTGTGAGTGTGTATGTATATGCTTCTTGTATGATTTTGTCTGTATAGCTTTGCTTTTGCCATTTGTCCTAGGGTTCGGACTGTCATTTTTTTTTTTTTTTTAGTATAGTTTTTAGTGCTTGTTATCACAAGCACTAAAGCACTTGGTTGCTCTCTTCTTTCTTTCTTTTTTTTAAATTACTTTTTTATTTTAATAACTTTTTTCTATTTTAATAACTTTATTTTATTTACTTATTTTTTCATTCTTTCTTTTCTTTGTTTTTTTTTGTTTCCTTCCTTCCTTCCTTCCTTCCTTCCTCCTTCCTTCCTTCTCCCTTTTCTTCTGAACCATGTGGCTGACAGTGTCTTGGTGCTGTGGCCGGGTGTCAGGCCTGAGCCTCTGAGGTGGGAGAGCTGAGTTCAGGACATTGATCCACCAAAGACCTCCCGGTCCCATGTAGTATCAAACGGCAAAAGCTCTCCCAGAGATCTCCATCTCAATGCTAAAACCCAGCTCCACTCAATAACCAGCCAGCTACAGTGCTGGATACCATATGCAACAACTAGCATGACAGGAACACAACCCCACCCATTAGCGGAGAGGCTGCCTAAAAGCATAATAAGTTCACAGACACCCCAAAACACACCACTGGACGTGGTCCTGCCCACCAGAAAGACAAAATCCAGCCTCATCCACCAGAACACGGGCACCAGTCCCCTCCAGCGGGAAACCTACACAACCAAGTGAACCAACCATACCCACTGGGAGCAGACACCAAAAACGATAGAAACTATGAAACTGCAGCCTGCGAAATGGAGACCCCAAACACAGTAAGTTAACATGAGAAGACAGAGAAATACACAGCACATGAAGGAGCAAGGTAAAAACCCACCAGACCAAACAAATGAAGAGGAAATAGGCAATCTACCTAAAAAAGAATTCAGAGTAATGATAGTGAAGATGATCCAAAATCTTGGAAATAGAATGGAGAAAATAAAAGAAACATTTAACAAGGGCCTAGAAGACTACAGAGCAAACAAAGAATGATGAAAAACACAATAAGTGAAATTAAAAATTCCCTAGAAGGAATCAATAGCAGA